CCCCAAAACCCCAAAACCCCAAAACCCCTGATTAAATGTTCCAATTTGAATATTTACTTTATGTATTAGTAGGAACGCTCCTAAAAGTCAGCTTGTCCTTCCTAGATTTGCATAAAACAAGGAGTCGACATATGCAAAGCTATAGATCAGCCGTTAATTAGTAGACAAAGCTTTCACCAGATTCAAACTATCGTATAGCTACTTATAGTTTAGATATACAATCAGAATGATCGATTGGCAATTATGGCCATGGATTAGGATAGTCTCCTTACTCTGAATTTTAAGGCAACTCTTGGCGATTCCTTATCAAGACTATCTGGATCGGCTTGTTTAGAAGATATTTTGTGGTCAGGGTTATTATACTTTGGCTCCTTCTCAAGAATCATTAAAAATATTTACAAAATTGGAGACAATTTGTCATGATGATAGTTATTAACCCCAGATATGGTTTAAAATTAAGTGATGTTTAAATTAAAATTTTCTTCATTGGAATAATTATCAAAATTTTGTGTCTATCAGAAACCCCTTTATAGGCTAGCCAAGGCTTAACAAACCTCATAATTGATGAAAAGAAACTATTGGCTTATACTAACCATGGGTTTTGAGCATTTATGCCCAACTATTGTATTATACCAAGTTATAAGGATCATAGATAGCGATTTAAAAATTTTGTGGATCCCCAAAAATGAACCAAAAGGATTTTATTGCTCCTATTTCTGCCAATTTGACAAATAGACAGTATCCACTAATATCACAGAGCTGTTTAGCAGTCATTAAAGTATAAAATTAATTAAAGATGGAGTCTATTTGCTTCTGACAAAGAGCACAGTTTAGGACTGTGATTGATTCAAAAGAATACTCTCAAGAACTCTGTTTAATAGTTTTTGCTAGTCTTTTCATATCTTCCTCTTCCGTTTCATTAATTATGAAGTGCAATGACTTGAGAACTAACCGATTTTTAAGTTCATTGTCTCCACAGATGCAGAAATGCTCATCAACTCCAATTTTTCAGGATTCAAATATAACTTTTTCTAAATCGGGCAATTTGAGAACTCGCTCAAGATCTTCGCTATCTATCAAAAATCCCTTGAGATACAGGCATTTGATAAAGTCAAGCTCTTGCAGCTTTTCACAGTAATCATGGAAGTCGACGCAGTAGCCATCAGCCCTCAAGATGAGGTTATTAACACTTGAAATACTTTGTGAAAGGAATGTTTCAAGCTCTTCATCACCCTCGTAAAAATTATCAATAATGATAGTATCAATAGTAGGGAATTTGATATCCCCAACAGCAGTCAGGAACTCCCTGTCTTTGTCATTTTCCAAATCTATCCACATGCATACAGTTTCATTCTGGTCGAAGATGAGTGGGTTTCCAGTGACCTTTTCAAATACTAACCTTAGAGTACTAACAAAGCTGGATTGTGCCAGAGAGAATGAGAAAATATCACTTCTAGGATCCTCTTCAGCACATTCCCTTAATTTCATTAATAATCCCTCCAAGCTTGTATTTCACAAAGATGGTTGTTCACCTTTGTTCGAACAAATTGTTCCCATAGTGTTTGAATAGTACTCGTTGACTAAAGTATGTACTCCAAGGGCATATCTTGATAGGTAATCTGCAAATTGCTGACCAAATATTGCCTGTACATTATTCTGACTGCTATTTCCTTGTTTCTGAAGTGTTTTGTCACTAAAATCACCACCTGCATGCTTGCTGGAGTCTTCTCCAATAAGGCTATTACATTGCAAAGAGTTGGCTTGAGCAAGACAGGTCTTGGTTTCTTCATTCAATTTCTTATTAATAAATGCAAGGGAGTGGAACTCCTTATCTCCTGAAGCCACCGCTTGTGTAGAGCATTGATTCACAAGCAGACTGATGTCCTCACTCAAAAATTCCTTCCCAGAGGTTCTCTTTTCATTTATTTGAGTAACGGAAGAAACACTTCTTGAGTCACTCTCAGTAGTGCTACAGAGCTTATCCTGACAGAACACCTCCTCCTGGGTTAACTTTAAGCTGTATTCACTTGTTGTTTTCTGTTGCTAAAGAAGAGGATTAGAAATCAGATCGAAGTTCTTCAGAACGTTACACATACAAAATTGGCCTCCTTGGCATAAATAGCGAGACAAAGGTTTAAGAGGAGTCAAAATAGTGATTTTATGATTGTCTTAGAGGTATAGTCATGCTTTATGACAGATAGTAATATTGAATGGTGCTTACCTTAGTTGCCATTTTATTTTTATTGACTCATCTTAATAACAAACCCTTAAATTCTATTGAACTGCCAAAAAAGGGGTTTTGGGGTTTTGGGGTTTTGGGGTTTTGGGG